CGGGAGCTTGAATTCAGCCGATCCGGGCTCAGTGTGTGTTCTGAGAGGCCCAGACTGTTCACCCCAGATCCACGTCAGCTCAGCATTGCCTAGTGATCCTGAGCAAACAGATTTAGGCTGTTTACGACTCCCTATGCCTGCACAGCTGAAGAGGTCAGAGACTTGATCTCTCCGCGCCCGCCGCCATGTTGGAATCCCCGAATATCTTTAAGGTAATTCTTGATATTTGGAAAAGTAAGTTCTTTTATTCTTTTTCAGAAGTATCTTTATTATTTTCAGCCATGTACCTTTTTTTAGAAATTTTAGAATCATATTATCAAATTGCCTACAATCTCATGCACATACGATCTTTAAGACTGATAAAATTCTATTTAATCTATAGAACTATATAGTCATTTAGTTTTATGTGGTGTTGTGATACATCTTCTGTTGCATTTAATACTAATCATTTGGTTACACATACATTTATTTTTGATCTTTTACCGAACTGCACTTTTGAGTTTTGTGCATATTTTTTTAAAAATAAAATATTCTAGAAAAATATAACAGTAGAGCTATAAAAGATACAAAACCTAGGATTTAATACAATGAAAGATATGCACAATGTGTACACAGAGATACCATGCAGTTTTAACTATGTTATCTAATATCTATTTCTACCGTTACAGAGGCTGTTAGGTTTTGTATATTGAGCTTGTGGTGCCCCCTTTTAAAAACTTCTACTTAGGATTTTGGTGTTTTCCTAAGGGAATGATGAAATAGGAGGAATTATTCTATTCCCTTCCCACATGTACTACAGTGCACCAGTAGATAGAGCAAGTGAGAGGTTCTCAGCTCTGTTATCTGACTTGGTAAGGAATGTTTGTTGTGCTTCACTCAGGAAGTGATGAAGCTTGTAGTTTTCTGTTAGATCCATTTTTTCATTATGGGAATTTTCTTCTATTTCTAGTTTGTACTGATTTTCCTCTGAAACTTAGAGGTATTTTTGATGAATTCTACCTTTTTTTTTTTTTTTTTTTGGTTTTAAATCAGGCCTCATTAAGGTAGGCCCAGGGCCAAATATGTCCGCCACATTTTTGGGGTTTTGTGATCTAAAAATTGTTTTTGCATATTTAAAAATTTTTGCAGGGGGATCAAAAGAAGAATACTATTTCTGACATGTGTCAATTATATGAAATACAATTTCCTTGTTCATTTGTAAAGTTTTATTAAAATATAATACAATCATTTTACATATTGTCTGTGACTGCTTTTGCAATACAGTGCAGAATGGAGCAGTTCTGACAGAGGCAGGATAGCCTGCAGATTCCAAAATATTTACAATCTATACCTTTACAGAAAAAGTTAGGTGACTGTTTTAGAACATCATGATAATTATATGTTTATTACCCTTCTGTTCAGCCATGATTAACAGAAAGCATAAACCAACCATGACTAAAATATAAAAATATTTATTATTACACGCAGACTAGCTCCAGGCATGGTATGATCATTCCTCACATCTCACTCTCTTGGCTTTGCATCTCATCTTCATTCTCTTTGTCTTTAATTGTCCCAGAAATAATCCCATGGACATCCTTTTAAATTTGATTTTCTTAATACCTTAAATGAATAAAACTTTGCTGACACAAAGGATGTAAAAATTTGTTATTACATATTTTGTATATTTATGCTTTAGCAAATGTAGTTTAAGAACATGTTAATCTGACTTCCAATCACAACATCAGGTGGGTGGACATTATTGGTACCATATGCAATGGTCATGTCCCAGGCATCAATGACACCTACATTGAGATCTTTGAAAATGTCATTCAGGGTAAGATACTGAATGTAACCATGGAAGTCTCCAAACCACTCTGTTTCTAYGTGCATCTCCCTGATATTTTCTGTCTTAATGATCACTTTAGTGTCGGGACTTCTTAGGAATAGTCGTTGGATAGCTTTTCGAACACTTATGGCCCTGCGAATGAAAACGTCAATGGGGAAAGGTCTGAAGTGTTGGCCAAAAGTTATGACAATGGCTGTGTTTTTATCCCCTGATAGCCGGTCAATTTCCCGAGGGATATAACCTTCATCTGTCACGGAATAGGTACTATAAGTGACAAAAGGAAAGCCATGTTTTTTCCATTGAATTTGAGTATGTCTTTCAGCATCCAGAAGCAAATGTTTCTTAAAAGGTCCAGTTTCATGAAGATCAAAAAATTTCAGTGCTGATTAAAAAAACAAACAAACAAACAAACAGATTTTAACTAAAAAAGTAATATTAGTGCATGTTAAAAGAACATTCACAGTATCATTTATAATATCTACTGGAAATATTTTTATCGGAAGCATTCTAACTTCTAGAGTAAATTACCAATTCACATGTGTGAAATGTCAGTTAAAATATGAAGTTTTTCTTGGAATTTATCAGGAGGAATAACTTTTCTTATGAAACATTGAATAAAATAGATTTCAAATCAAGACTCAACTCTAGAAAGCTAAATGAAATCATAAGAAAACTAGCTCAAATGAGAAGAGATGGAGACCTCATTGAAAGTACTTAGCCTGAATTTCCAAAAGAATATAAAGTAAGTACATACTTTTTACAGCTTTGGAATATAAAGTAAGTACATACTTTTTGCAACTCTGGGTAAGTAGTAGATCCACTGACGCAGTGTGGAGTCTCCCAGCAGGTAAATGAGTTTTCCTTTCAAGCAGTCATTGATCTTGTTTGTATCTAGTTGAATCTGGTTACAAAATGTTGTTATCCACCTTCCTTGTAAAGTGTATCCACCAGGGACCAGAATCTTCATTCCAATTTGGCATTTCTCTGTGCTCTTTTCACTCTCTGGTATCAGAGATCTAGTGGTGAGTGTTGTTAGTGGCATGTGTTAAACACCAGCCTCCTTTCTTGGGCCTTCCCTTTCCTGATCTCTTACTCCTGTGTCTTTTGTCACTTACTAGGGGTATTTCTTGATCACCAGCTTTGTTTTAATAATTGCTCTCATTCCTCTGAGAGATATTTGAGTCATGCTGACTCCTCCCTGTTCATTTTCTTTCATCTGTGATCATTAGCTAAGTCTCTATGTCCTTTCCTTTCTTTGCCATTCCTCTGATTTTGTGGTGATTTAATTTTGTTCTCTAATCTGAATGCTGTTACTGAATTCCCAGTTCCTATCTTCATTATTGCATCATTTGTATTTGTTCCATCAATGAAGGAACTGTGAAGTTTGCAGTGTTTAAAAAATGGCTTAAGGGGCTGGGGATGTGGCTCAAGCGGTAGCACGCTCGCCTGGCATGCGTGGCGCACTGGGTTCAATCCTCAGCACTACATAAAAAATAAAATAAAGATGTTGTGTCCACCGAAAACTAAAAAATAAATATAAAAAAATGGCTTAAAATATAACATGTACACATGTTGAAAACTGAAACATTATGAAATACTTACCTCAACTTAATTTTTTTTAAAAAACAGGATATGCAAGCACCCATGGTAAGGGTGATTTGCAGCATTCCACAGAAACCAATATTCTGAGATATTACAGCCTGTTTTTATAGAACTGCAGCCTCTCTCATGGTGTGCCTTCTAAGGTATCCCATGTGGCAGAGCACCAACTCTGCCATGCTATAACAAAGGTCCTCATATGTCTGACATCATGCTTCCTTACCATTCTCTATGCTGCTGCACCACTGCTGAGCCATTGCCTCATATCTTAGTTTTATTATTTGTTGTTTTTTTTTAAAATTTTTTTTGAAGAATGACTTTTTGAGCCTTTGCATGCTAGGTTAGCACTCTACCACTTAGCTTCATTTTATTGACAATTCATCTAGTAGGAAGGACACACATTGTTAGGAGGGCAAGTTGGTTTGCCTTTGAAGTCATTACCTACAAATTTCCCATATCATTTCTATTCATATTCCTAGAAAAAAAAATAACGTGGCCACAAGTAGCCACAGGAAAGGTGGCCAGGGCTTCAGTTAAACTACTGGTTTCACTTCTAAAGAGAGAGAAGGGAATGGGTAGCGGGGAATTACCAGCAGCCTCTGCTTAACCTTCTTTTCTTAGCTCCTCATAGATTTTGTAGTCTCTGGTTGCCTGTGTCTAGAAAACAGTACTTTCTTACATGTCAGTACTGTAAAGTTGGCCCTCTGTATCCATAGGATCTGTATCTATGGATTCAACCTACCATGAATGGAAAATATCCAGGAAATTTGTTTTTAATCTTATTAGACACATGCAGATTTTTCTTTCCATTTCTCTAAACAATATAGCATAGCATCTATTTACATGACATTTATATAGTATTAGGTAACATAAGTATTTTGGAAATGATTTAAAGTGTATGGGAGGCTGTTGTAATTCATTTCAAATACCATGCCATTATATATAAGGGGTAAGCTTCTTGGCATCAAATTTGGTGTCCCTGGTGGGTCCTACAGACAAACTCCCTTGAATATTAAGGGAAAATTGTATTTGTAATTCGAGGGCAAAGTAGCAACATGGTTCTGGTGGCAGATTTAGAAAATGCTCCTGGAATAGCTCTTAAATCCTGGTGATTTTTCTTGCCCAAGGGAGTTTTCCTAATGCAATTATCATGTTGGAATTTTACTGTGATATGGTTGGTCTTGTAGGAGGCTTAATAACACTACATCATGGATGCTTGCATATCATAAGCCTAGAAACTCAACACCCACTATTACCAAGTATTCCCCATCCCAGTAATGTACTGGCATATTCRAGATGATAGCCTTTGAGCTTATTATTGAAAAGCATATCTTGTGTAATATTTACATGTCAGAATTTATTTCCTTATGAATATTATTACATAATTTTATTTTAGAATAGGCTCGATATTTTGAGCAATATGTGGTTAATTTTGCTCACCTTTTTGATTAGAGATTGTAATAGGCAGGCTGTGGTCCCTCAATACATTCAAGTCCTAATTCCTCAAATCTGTGAATATGTTGCCTTCCATGGCAGAAAGGATTTTCCATATTCACTAAGTGTATAGACTCTGAGAGGGGATAGTTCTCAATTATCTGGGGGAAGGGGTCCAGTCTAATTAACTGGCTCTCCAAATTGAAAGAGGGAGGCAGGAGGTAGGCCAGAAACTTGTAATTTGAGTAATTGACCCACTATTGTGGCTTTGATAAGAAGATGGGGTTACAAAGAAAGAGGGCAGCCTTTAGAAGCCAAAAATGCAGATCTCCAGAAAAAAATACAGGTTTGCTCTACCTTAACTAGCTTTGTGAAACCAATATTGGGCTTTGGAAGAATAACACTAAGAGAAAAGTTCTTCTTATTGGAAGCCACTTTGTTTTAGCAGCAAGAAGAAACTAATGCAGAGAAAATCGACATTCTTCCAATATGAATTCACCCCATTCAGAAATAGCATACTTTCTTCCATGTATAAATTTTATGTTCCTTAGCACCATTTTAAATTCTCTTTGTGTATTTCATACTCATTTTGCTCACTTGTCCACTCTCTTCTTCAGTTGACCTCTGGAGTTTTCAAAAGTCTACCAAATAAACATGAAATCTTCAGCATGCTACTTGAAAACTTCCATCCTCCCATATGCTTACCACACTGGCCTACTGAACAGGGTCCAGAGAATTTTGCTCATGAAAAGAGTTATCAGATAAAAAAGGTTACCACATTAAAGAATCCAGGAGAGAGAATTAAATCACTTCTAGTATGGAAGGCTTTTCTAATGTATGTGTCATTCAATCTTTTCTTTATCTCAATGTATACGTACATAGGTAATTAGAAGTTACTCAAATTATTTACTTAAATCTGACAACCCTACCATGATCTTTATGTGGTTTCTCTTTCAGCTCATTCTCTGATTACAGATATTCTTCAGGCCTTACTCATATATTGACTTTAACATAACTTCTTCTGTATTTTGCTTTCTTCACAGAGTTGGTAGATTGAATTTATTTTGATCACAAACTTAACATTAATTTTTCTCAATTGACTCAAAATACCTCATATCTATTAGACCCCCAGTAAAAAATTGATGAAGAAATGAATTAATATTAGAAATAAATCATGAGTTGTCAAGTTTACCATAACAGGCTTTATATACAATTATTTAAAGTTAATGTATAAATAAGTATAAATATTATTTGTTCACATGTAACATTGCTTTGTATTTGCCATTGAAACAATTAATAAGATGGAAACTTCATATGAAATTGCTAAGTGCACCAACTAAAAGCTGGAGGTTATACCAACAGAGATGAGGAAACCAAAGCCAGAGTGCTCCTGTTCTGAAGCCATGAGTACCCATCACAGACATTTGCACAGCACCTCACACTCTAGAAGATGAATGTAGGATACTAATACTTTCTCCTTTACATTAAGTCAAATGAAATCTACTATAAACAAAGTTTGAACTAATTTCCTTGAATTGATTTCTTCTATAAAGTCCAAATAGACTGAGATCAGCATTAACACTGATTAATTTTTCTCTTCATAAAATTCATGACATATACACCTTCCACAGAAGAAAGCAGACTTACTGTTACAATGGGAGACATCAATATTTTTAAGGTCTTTCATCATTTCAATTCCCACTTTGGACCTTCAAAAAATAAGACCATAGATTACCCTGTGGTGTATTCACATAGCATAGGACACAAGTTTACCTCATTGTAAGTGAAGGATAATTTTATTTTTAATAATTGAAAACTATTATGTTTATTATGTGTTTTAGATATACTGGGCATTATACATGAATTAGGATTTGGGAAGGCTTTCTATCCTATGAAGAGTACCTGAAGTCTAGGGCAGCTCTTCTTATCTGCCAAATGTAATAGTGTGTGCTAGAATCTTAGATTCACATTTATCAAATATGAAAGTTCTCTGTCCTCTTTTATATCAGTTATTCACATTCATATAATATTTTTCATGAGTTATTATGAGCCTCTAGTTCACCAACCTAAGTTTAATCCCACCTAATTTCTTCAACCCACCCTCCAGAGCACCCTTTCCAATTGGAAATACAACTGAATTATTGTTTAAAACTCTTAATTGTGTCCATGTCACTTACCTAAGGAGTCCTGGATTCTTGTCATGGCACCTAGACCCCTTATCACAGAATCCCTGCTTCTCCCTTTAGGCATGTTTCCTACTGTTTACCTTTAATTTTTCCTGCATATGTGTTGAGGATCATGTGAATAAAGGTAATGTATTTATATGTATGCACTATTGTGCCCTAAACATCCATCAATGTGACTAGCAGAAAGTAATGGTTAACCTGATGCATGAATAAATAAATGAACATTCTATTTGTACATTGAATTTCTTTCTTCTTCTTGATGAAAGACCTCTGAATCTTCCTATTTAATCCCCACTGCTTATCTCCTGTGCATATGTGTGTGTAAATGGAGGCAGGCAGGAAGGGCTCAAGGAAGGATAAAGGCTCAGGTGCCTAGTATAACAAATATACAATAGATATAAATGGTACCCTGTTTTATGCTATGGATGTCCTTTTAGATCTAATCCCATAAAAGGGTAGGTGATCCTTAGTGGCATTTAGGCATAAGGATGGTTAATGGGGAGGAAGATATTTGGTGATTTGCATCATTGGAAACAAAAAGGAAGGAAAAGAAACCAACTGTGCTTTTATTTGTTCAGAAGTAAGCCATGCACTATAGATCAGGATATCTGCATAAGCATCTGGATAAGTGCATTAGCATATTGAATGTGTCTTGTGTTTCCATGTTCTGTTTACTCTTCTTCTAACCAAATATTTTTGAAAGTACATGGAAAAAATTCTAAGCTTGAGTTTGAAAACTGCTATGAAATGAATTGCTCAGAATCTAGCATTTCACTGTAAAAGATGGAGAGAAAATAAGTATCCATGGGGTAGAATAGATTTTGGCATAGTGGAAAGTGAAAAGGAAGTGGACTGAGGCTTATGGAAAATTATCACATGAACAAAAGATTCTGGGACTGATAAGGTCTCAGGACTTGGCTCATAGTTCTGGTTTTTGTGACGACAATTTTCTTTTACAAATACCCAAAGAAGCCCATGAAAGAACCCTGATATTTCATTCTAAGTAATGAATTGTTTTGTTTCCATCTCAGTGGAGAACAAGAAGACCAATGAATGAGCATCTGTTTGTAGGGGAGATAGGCATGGTGTGTCTGCAGCCAAGACTGATAGGAGAAATGTGTGTGCACCAAGGTTAGAGGAGGATGTTCAACGAGGGCTTCCAGGCACTGATAGGTAACAGTGGGCAGAGGTAGAGGGACTCCTCCATGCTGAGTAGTGTGCAATGATGCATTTCTGATTTTGAGGTCCACTAGAGATGACCCATAGGAGTTGGCCTTTTAGAAATATTGTTCAGGCTGCAGTGTAGAGTGGGTTCAAGGAGGGTGTGATTGATGATGGGAGAGAGACCAGGTAGGAAGCATTACAGTCATGTAGATGACGTAATGGTGGTCTCAACTAGGACAGCAGCACAGGGCATGGAGAGGAAAGAACAATAAAGACATTTAAGAGGCACAATCTGTGGAACACAATATGGGCTGTGAAGTTGCATGACATTATCATATATGTATAAGGAATTTTTTTCTTGAGTGGAATATCTATGAACACATAGCAAAATAGTTTCTCGGGGAGTGTATTTTGTGAAACGTATGTGTACAGTAATAATCCCAATTGATACAGGGATGTATAGGCATGTATATTATTGAATTCTTCCTGTGTAACCATCTTTGTTTGACTATATCAAAATGCAAACTGTGGTGTAGAGTCATGAACATGGGGTGCCATGAAAATATCACTTCACATATATGACCATAACCTTGGGTGCAGGAAGCATCTGAGACATTAAGATCAGCAATGTAGCTTTGCTTACCAGCATCTCTCATTGTATTGAAAAGTATACTCACTTATGGAAAAGGCTTTTTTCCTTGACAGAAAGATAAGAAATTTCTCGGTTCCTGGTGGTCACATGAGTCAGGGCCTCACAGGGCATGTTTTGAGGCTTCATGCAGTAGAAGGCTTCCTGGTCTCTCCCATACAGGTAGGTGCATAGTTCAGAGCTAGAGTTTAGGGTCAGGCCACATTCAGTGAAGACTTGGGAGGTGCCATTAACAAATTTACCTTTGAAAATAATTTTATCRTAGCCTTGGTTCCTTGCCCTCCAGAGAGCBGACACCCCTTCACTGGGGTGGATGAGCAGGAGAGACAGGGAGACCTGGCCCTCCCAGAACAGAGTGAAGCTGACAAGGTAGGTGCCATTGTGGAAGTCTGTCACCTTTCCTGARGCACCTGCTTTCAGGGCTGGGGAGGACATCCTGGCCCTGAGGAAGTCCCCTCCATATTCCTTCCTGCGTCCCAGGTGGTCCCTGGCCTCCAGCAGGATGTCCAGCTGGTCCCCCCTGCAGTATGTGTCTCTAGGGTTGAGGAGGGTGACTGTGCTGTGTGTGGCACTGGTGGTGGTGTCCTYATGGGTGAAGGGTCTGGGTGGGATCAGCTGGTTTAGTGTTTTCAGAATCTTCCTTATTTTCAGCTCAGTTTCTGTTGGTGTGTTTACAGGGCTCATCTTTATTTCAGAACATGAAGAGTTTGTGGAGATGTTCCAGTGATAAAAGCTGATGGGTACATTTATAGCAGACCAAAGCTGAAATGATAACAAATAGGACATACTATTCAACAAACCTCTTTCCAATAATTTTTACTTATAATGAATATGTGCTCACCTATTTTCATCATGTTATTTAAACTTTTTGACAATTCTGCATAAAATAAAACTGTTTATATTTTTACCTTAATGTTTTAATGCCGAGCAATTATAAGCAAAAATATTAAATCTTAGATTTATAGCTTAAGTAATGAGTAAAAAAATGATGCTGGTTTACTTGTTATTCCTTTTTAAATATTCCTTACTCTCATAGCTCATTTCTGTTTAGTTCCTCCTCAATATAATCTTACCCATATTTAACTATGTTTTCCTCCCCACCTTATCATGGTTCAAGCTGCCATCATTTATCTCCTGAATTTTTTACTTTCTTGTTGGGGTGAAGATGTTCTCAGTTTTCATGAGGACAGCACTTCTTTTTCTCCATTTAATTTTCTCCATTGTATCTAAGTCAGTCATTGTAAAGCAAAACTCTACTCCCAATTAGCCCCTTTAATGTCTTCTCATGATTCTTGGAGTAACAGCCAGTTTTAACAGGGCTTTATGCTTTGGCCTGACTTTTCCTACCTAGTTGTCCCGCTTCCTCCTATGTTCTCCATTTTGACAAGACTAACTGGTTTTATTTTAGGAGCTGATCTTCCTTTCTTGTATGTCTTGTGCTTTACTAATACTTTTTCCTCTTCCTGCATTGGTGGCTACCTCTTTCTTTTCCCCAAACCACCTAAACATCTATTAACTTCTCATTTAAGAATCCCCACAACCTTAGCTGTCACTGGACAGTGTTCTAAAGGTGCTCAAATTCAGTGGTTTCTGAATCTTGTTGATAATCAGAAGCAAATGCCAAGCTTTTCTCAAAACATGGATTCTCAGGCTGCAGTCCAGGTCAACTGAACCATAGTCACTAAATATGCAATCCTGGAGGATGTGGTTTTCAAATACTTCACAGACATCCTGTGTTCAGATAAGGTTGAGAACACTGGTTATAGAACAGTAATTTTCAACCGCCTCACATGTAAGAACATCTGTAGATCTTAAAACAGTACAAAAAAAACTTGTCTGACTCTTCTGTGGCACATCCTCAATCTGTAAATCTCTGGTGGTTGGTAACAAAATGTAAACCAAAAATAGACTGGAAACCAAGAAATGAGATATAACCAAATAAAGATGAAAGGAACCTAAGTTCAATCTTTGAGAAATCTTAGAGAATTGAGAAATCTTTGGCTAAGCCAAGAAAGAAACAGAGACAAATATATAAAATCTAAAAGAGAATAATTTCATGTATGTTTGTATATTATGAAAACATAAAAAAGACGTTAGTACACACACTATGAGATAAATGGGATAGAAAATAACGATAACAATATAACAGTATAACCATGATGAAAACTTTTTTTCCATTTTGCCTTCATCCTAAATAATTGAATAATTTTTATTTGTGAGTACAAATATTATTAAGTTGCATAATGTGGAAACAATTTATACTAAATCTTTTTTTTAGAGAGAGAATTTTTAAATATATATATATWTTTTTTTAGTTTTCGGTGGACACAACATCTTTGTTTGTATGTGGTGCTGAGGAGCAAACCTGGGCTGCACGCATGCCCACTAAATCTTGATAAGTGCAATATAGAAAAAGGAAAAGTTTTCACTCATAACATGGTTTTAAAATTCTCTCTCCCTTCAGAGATGTATATATTTATATAAATATATATAAATATATATATATAAATATGTAGTTTAGAGGTGTGTGTGTGTGTGTGTGTGTGTGTGTGTATTTGTCATGAGTGCTTATGGATTGATTAAGATGGGCCTTGAGAGAAAAATCTTTCAGTGTAGTTTATATCTTAATGGATTAAAGACAAATCTTGTGATTTTTTCCTTATTTTCAAATTTACTTGATGGAAATTGCAATGATAAAGAAGCATTCACTATATTTTAAAATTTATTTAACCCCAATACTTAATAAGTACAAAAAAATAAAATTCAAAGTCAAAAGAAGACAAGAACATTGGCTAGCATCAACTGAATTAATGTTCAACATGTTAGAGGCCCAGAACAATAAAATCCAACCAACCAACCAACCAATTACAAAAAGACCTTGAGGTTTTGAGAATTGTAAGAGTCTTACTGATGATATTTTAGAATCATGTCTTTGTTTTGTTCTATATAGATGTGATTGTCTACAACGAAAACTTGAGTTAGAAAATTACTGGCAATAAGATATCAGGTAGGAGCTGAAAGCAAAATAAAATTATAGTATCATTAAGCACTTATCTATGCCAGTAGTAATTAGTATTAAATGAAAAAGGACATAAGTTTGGATTTGAGGGAGGCATTTTGAAAACTCTTTTAATACTATTTTACAACACCTGAATGAATACAAAGATTTTCAGCTTTGAATGTAACAGGGCATGATGTAAACTTGATATTTCTCCTTAAATATAATTTGAAAACTCTCTTTCAAATTTTATTTTCAGGAGGATTATCTTGAGAGAGACCAAAGATGTTTACTTGATTCCAAAATTTTGTGGAAGATAGTAGTCTATAAGTAGCTAGGAACTATTTAGAACATACTAACTGTAGCATAAACAAATTTGTAGTAACAAATTTTATCATGTCCAAATAATATAAAAAAACAAAGAGAATAGAGTCCCCTAGAATTGATCTCCTTATATATGGCAGTGCATTATGTTAGTGATGAAATCATGAATCATAAAATTACATTTAGTAATTTGTACCAGAAAATTGTTTATATTAAAAACAACTCCTGATGATTTCTGTCCCAGGCTGTGTACTAAAGGTCTAAATGAATGAAAGACCTAAATAGGAATATCATAACTCACAAATGCATCATAAAGAAATTTAGAATTTCTCTCTGATTTGAAATTAGAAAGTATGTCATAAATAAGACTGCAAATTTCAAAATATAAGAAAAAAGTGTTTAACTATTAAATTTCTTCAAAATGACAATTCTTATAAAGGACATCATGGACAAATCTAACAGACAAAATGAGATAAATTATATGCATCATCTAAACCCAGAAATTATTCCCTAGACTATAAAAGTTATTACTAAAAAGAATAATGTATATGTGTAATATAATAAAAATATAATATAACATAATTATATGATAATTATATAATAATATAAAATAATAACAATAATCTAATGTCATAATAATATAATATAAAAATATAATTATATGTATTACATTTACATAATATATATATGGTCCCAATATAAAAATCAACAAAGTATATATTGAAAATATTTATGACAATGTTGATCACATTATTAGGTATATTAGTGAAGCAATGGACACAGTTCATTTATGGGAATTAAAAAGTTACATTTCATATATTTATATAATGGAATATATAAACCCTCATGAACTAGATTTCCATAGAGCAACATGATTAGATTTCAGAGGAAATTTTGAATAAAAACTTTACATAAACACACACCACACAGTATCCCATCACTATGTATCTCTTCAAGACACACATATACCTATATATATGCATTGAGTAAGAACTGGAATACTCTGAGGAATAAATAATGTGAATATGTGCTTGTGGGAAAAGGGGAATGAGAGTATGAGTGGGGAATAAATAGATAAAAAGCCATAAATCATAAAATATTTCTTCATATATGGCTGATTAGCTTCAATAACAATGATCAACTCTGAGCAAAATACTGAAACAACTCCCTCCAGGCTAAAAGAGTGTAGCTTTTGAGGGGAAGCTGAAGCCTGGAAGAATGAGCCATCAGGAAAAATCTTCTGTTTTAATGATGTTAATTTGACAGCAGTTGGAAGACAAAGATGGAATACTTAAAATCAGTAGAACCAGCACACCCCCTTAATCAACCATAGTTACTGGAAGAAAGGGGAAATCCTAGACCATAAGAACTTTATTCAAATTTCTAGCTAAATACCTCACAGAAGTTGCTCAGCATCAAGACTCACAAAAGGAGAAGATAACTTTTCAGTGAGGTGGCAATTAATGTTAGAGATGTCAAAGTAAACTCCAGACATACCATTTTATACACAAGTTAACTGATATTAGGGCTACTGCTAGCTACCCCTCCCTCTAACAGGAGCTGGACAGTGACCATGACACTTCAAGATTCCACTTTAGAGGCACTGCTGCTGAGGAATTATTATAAACTAGCCAAACAACAGAGAATCTCTCCCAACACAAGATCTTACCCCATATGAGCCTAAACATAGCTTGAAATTATTGAAATGGGGAGACAATTACCAGGCTCCAAAGAGGAATAACCAGAGTGGAACTGCAGGCCCCCCACCCCCACACCAACATCTACACATGTTTCAAAAACAGAAATCTTAGAGTTTTAAAAAAATTCTTGTAAGAACCTCTGTATAAAACAGGAAGGGGAATCCATCTTAATTGATGTGCAAGTCCAGGACCTCCGAAAGGATGAGGAAACAGGCAAACAAATCTCCCCTTAAAACTCAGAACCCTCCAACAAAGGATCCCACTGAGACAAGAGTGGATGAAATTCCAGAGAAAGGTTGTAAAAAACTGATTATTAAAATATTAGATTAACTTAAAGGAGATCTAAGGAATGAATTAACAGATCAAATGCAGGAGATGAAAGACTATTCAAATAAAGAAATGGAAATATTGAAAAGAATCCAGCCAGGACTCCTAGCAATAAAAGACACAATGACTCAAATGAAAAATTCATTTTAAAACATCACCAGCAGATTACATTGTACAGAAAATAGAACTTCAGGGCTGGGGTTGTGGCTCAGTGGCAGAGTGTTCGCCTAGCATGCGTGAGAAACTGGGTTCAATCCTCACCACCACATAAATGTAAAATAAAGATATTGTGTCTACCTAAAACTAAAAAAAAT